AAGTACATTTAATTTACGTATGGAAAAACTAATAATTTGAAAATATGTGATAAAATCTAATTCTAAATCAAATAATTTTTCTTTTCTTTTTTTCTAATCGACATAAACATCAAAATTAATAAATAAATTTTATGTTTTACATTTAATGGGTTTACAACAATATTTTGATTTTTATTTCATTTAACTTTAACGGATGATATAATTTTGTTCTATATAATTAATTTTTGTTTTTCATAAGTTTATAGCAGATTAAATTACAAAACCCGTATATATGCGGATCATTAATCTAGTATTATATAAAATTTTAGTATAGAAGATGCAGTAATTTATGTAAGAAAATTATGTGTGTTTAAATTATAAGTACGTATAAATATAATAGAGAAAATACTAAGCTAGTAAGAATATGAAAAAAGAAGATCGACGAAAAACAAAATGTGTGGACAAATACAAATGAAGAATAATTAACAAAGAAGATACGTAAACTAACCTTAAGGATACATTTGAGTTTAGGAAAATATTTTGCTGGTAAGCTTACATAATAAATTTTTTTTTTGAAAATTGGCTTTTCTAAATACTTTGCAAAATTGAGGGCCATAGGCCATTGTTTCTTATTTTACTTCATAGCCACGGCCCTGGCAAAGGAATACCAACCGCTTCATCAATAACCGAAAGATGATCTTTTGAGAGCTTGTCATGCTGATGTGGTTCTATATACTGCATGCATGAAAAATTGAGCATAAGTCATACGACATGAAAAAATAGAGAAAAAATAGCCTGACCGTAAGGTAACTATTAACCTGGATAGTTTGTAGTTTCTAATTCTTCAAGATTTTGATCTTTATACATTCTCCTTCCACCTGCATATCATATAATTCACGCTTATAGTCAAGTGCCTCAAGTGCCTTCGAAAAGAACTTAAAACATATCTTCAACTTGTAGAAGAGTGGGGCTGTGATGTAGATAAGTGACTCGCCACTAGCAACTGCTGCAGCAACCGCATATCCAATCGCATATAATTTTCCAGAACCTCATTTACCAATCAACGCAGCCGACTCTCTATTCAGAACTGAGAGTAAGAGTTGTCCAACTGCTATCCATTGATCAAGTGTTCGACACTTCAAGATTAAAGGACCAACAATACTAATATCACTTTCATTATGTAATCCTTCGTATTTCAAATTCTCCACGTACCGTTGTAACTTGGAAAAGCATTCGGAATCGGAATTTTTTGTTAGCACAACACAATGATATTAGTTGGAATTTTGGATAACAAACAGAAACCAATTCATTTTTCATTTTTGAATCAAAGATTACCTTAATTTGTTGAGGGTAGGGAGTTAGCAATAGCTTCAACTCATCATTCATAACTACACATTCTTCGAAGGATAAGATTGATTGCAGAAAAGCAGCAGAATCAGTTTTGACATCTGTAGTAGCTATTGTGCATAAATTAGATAGAGCTGTAAATGTGGGAAATTGTGATTGTGATGGTTTCTAGTGCTTTAAACCACAAGAAGAGCTCGTATCAAACCAGATCTCAATTCCAGAATTAGAACGATGGGAGTTGGCAGAATAGACAAGGTACTACAAGAAGTCAGAATACCATTCAACAAGGCCATAAGAATCAATTGGATTCTAAAGATCTCATGCCAAGGCTACGACTATCACCAACAGAATA